ACCCGCTTACGTGCTCGTCCGTGACGCTTTCGTGGCGATCATACTATTAGCATGCAGAACGCCACTTGTGTTGGGATTGTGTCTGCGAATGACCCACATCATGAGGAACCGGTTCGTGATAATGTTCATCGTCGCGGTCCTCGCTTGCCTGTACCATATAATGGTTTACGCTTTTACTGCCGGAATCATGTTCAGTCTCAGTAGACGCGATCTTGATATGTTAGGTGTTCCCGATCCGTATCGTTGGATGTCTGTGGGCCTAGCTGTGCTTGCGATCGGGTTAACCGTTAATTGTTAACGTATGTTGTCAATTTCGGCTGTGGCCGAGTCTATTGTTGTAATCGTCAACCACGTAATTGAATATCCTATTTTCCATCACGATGTAGTAATTTCGTTCATCTCTATTGAACTCTATGTAGTCGTAAGTCGAATTATCAAATTGGTCTGGTTAGGTGTGTAGAAGGGTATCAATTCTGAGACACTCACATGCTAGACTGGGTGCCTTTCTTTTTCACCTCTTTTCTGCCTTGTCATCTGCTGAGGTAGTGTTACAGTACCATTGAGTAGCAAGTGCCGCTGCAACTTGTCGGCTTCGTATAATAGAGGTTTCATCTGGTCGCTCGAGATTTTTCACTCAAGCTCAGGCTCTTATCTCATGAGTTAGATTCTCGAAGGCTTAGTGAAGGTTGAGTTAACAACCTCTGGGGGCATACTTCCTGCGAGTTGTCGGATGAGTCGTCGCATTGAGTGTTACATTTCCGAATGTTGCTCCGCCTGATCTCAGGATTTGAATCAGACCAGTCGCCTTCTATTCCGATAGCACGTGAATTTAGAAACTCCACTTTCGACAGCACGTGGATTTAGAAACTCCATTTTCGACAGCACATGGATTCAGGAACTCCAATTGCGACAGCACATGGATTAAGGAACTTCAATTTCGATGATGCAGCTTAATAACTCTGACTTAGACATAGTTAAAACTTCCATAACTTTGCTGCAAGGGATGAGTGGTGGCTGTTACAGCCACCACTACTATAGCCAGGCTGTATGTTCGGCATGTGATCTTTGCATGAGTTTCGTCGTCGGGGTTACGGTATAAATCTATAATAGATTATCTAGATGTTTGATTAGATTGTTTGAATAGATTATCTATTCAAACAATGCGCTCGGAAGATGATTCGGGAGGCACTCCGATGCTGAGAGGAACCATGCTCCTACTTCATTCTGATCATCTGCATTGGACTGTCAATTCTATGTGTTGGTATCTTGGCTTGCCTCCGGTATGCGGGTATGCGCGCTCGTGCCGCGGATACAAATCTCTCTAGTTGAAGAGCCTATCTGGTTGTGCAAAATGGTGTGGTGAGTTCTGATATTGTGGTAGTCTACCACTGGTAGACTACCACTGGTAGTGCTGATCCAGATTGGATTTATCCTTGGAGATCGTGGCTTTTCTTCTTCCAACCCAACCCACAGCCACCCTTAGCCTAAGGGCCTTAGGCGAAGTTGGACGCTGAATAGCTCAATTTTTGGCTCGTGTCAATGACGTCTAACGGTCAAGGTGTCTCGGACTTTCGTTGGTGTCAACATCGATCATGGATCTTGGATCT